TCTCCTAGCGCCTTTGACCTGCTCCAGGCCGTGATCTCTAGGCCAACAGTACTGCTGCTCTCTTGGCATCTCCCTTCCTCATCATCTTGGACATCAAGTGTCTCCCACTCTTTTTTTTTGTTTGTTTAGCTGAGCCATCCTGCCACCTGTTGGCAGCTCAGCGGCAGCTCAGCTCGGGCCATGAATCAAACCGGGGGCCCTGTTGCTCAGAGCTCAAACTCTTGAGCGAGCTCTTAACCAGCTGAGCCACTCGGCCAGCCCAAGTGTCTCCCACTCTTAAAATAACCCTCTCTCACTCCATTATCCCTGTCCCTCTCCTTGCCATTGCAGCCCACCTCTCAAAACCTTGTCTGTCTAGTCTTTTGTGGCATGGAAAGGGAAAATAAGAGGTCATTCTTGGGTTAGGGACTCAGTTTAGGGACTCAGATAGTTGGCTGAAGTCCACATAGGAATAAAAGAAGAAAAAAAAAGAAAAAGGACTTGTAAGTAATCATGCATTGCTTCCTAGAAAAGGTGAAGTTTTCAAAACTTACTGAAATATGTCCTACTTTTTCTTGACTACATATTACATGCTCATTGTTGAAAATTTAGAAAATGAGGAGAAGTATCAAGAGCCCACATCTCTCTTTGTGGAGATTGAACATTTTTGTGTATTCTTGCTTTTCTCATGCATATATAAAATATTTGCTTTTAACCAAAATTGGGATTATAAGAAATTTGAAATCAGAAAAAAAAGGTTAGTAGGCTAAGGTTATACATTAGCTGGCTGCACAACTTCAGGGGGCACTGTTCACATTGTGTTCCACAGCAGGACTGGGTGAAGGGATTAGACCCTCCAGGCACAGCTTGAGGAAATGATGAAGAGCATGTGTCTTGTGATAGTCCCCCGCTGCCCGCCCCCCCCATGTTGTCATAAGCAACACTGTTCCCCCCCCATGTTGTCATAAGCAACACTGTTCACTTTGCAAAGCTGATAAAACTGGATTCCCCATTGCTTTTGGTAAGAAATTAACTCTATCAGTTAAGCTAACAGATACTTCTTAACAACATGACCACTTTCCCAATTTGTTATCCATTAAAACAAAACAAAACAAAAACTCACTGCACTATTTCCAAACAAAAATGTGGAAAAAAAAAAGTAAAATGAGGAACCAGTTAGCTAAGAAAGCTACCAAAAAAGTTGGAGCAAAAGGCTATCTCCAAATGACCATGAATTAAATAAAGCCTTCTTTATAAGAAGAGTCCTCAGAAAAATGTACGGTTTATGACAGTTTTGTGTTTTGTGGCATTAACCCTGGAAGTTGCTCCCAGCTCTCGAAGAGTTTCAAACTCTCTGACTTTAACATATGAAGATAGCAACTTGGTTGATGATGGCCAAGAAGCCATCTGGCAGAGCCGCACTGACAAGGACTGGTCTGTTCTGTGATGGAAGAGGAAGGTTCTGTTCTTGGCTGGGTGGGGTCCATGCCCTCAGACACCATGGCGATAAATGGAAAGCTTGTCAGTAAGCGATGGTTGTCCCTGCCTTACATTTTTCAGCAGTTTAGTAATTAGCTCCAAATTAGGAAATTAACTGGCAGTCGAAGCATGAGAGCAGGAAAACCCATCATTATAGCTCTTCCAAATCTTTGAAAGAAAAGGTTATGGAGCCTTAGAATAACTGTTTTCCTAAGGAGAGGAGTAGAAGAATTGACTCCTAGGTGGAAACGTGCGGGAGGCTGTTGTCTGGTTTGCTTGTGTAGGGGCCTCAAAAGGCACCCACCGCCCTCCCTTGCCCCACCACACACACACACACTTAGAATCTTTGCGTTTGTTTTTTCAGGAGCTTTAATGACCTTTGAACTCAACCCCACTGCTCCCTAAACACCAATGGAATACCCCAGTGGTGACACCACATAGGTCCAAGAATAGAATCAACACAGTTCAGTTAACTAGCAAGGAACAAAGTGTCACTCATTTAAATCTTGCTCAGATGCTTAAGAATATTCTCCCTCTCTTCAACTTTCCTGTATGTCTTCAGGATACTTCTATTGTGTCAAACTGGCAACATATCTCATGTAGTCATTTTCATGTATGCCATCTCCCTAAGCAGCTGCAGACATGAGACAGGAACCCTGCCTTACACTTACCCGCCCCCACAGTGCCTAGCAGAATGTCTTATACATAGTAGGTGTTCAGTAAATGCTAAGTGGATACATTATAGGGAGCAGGCCATGGGACTGGCCAACTGTAGCAATGGTCATTGTGTCAGTGTGACACCTAACAGTGTCCCATTTCTAGGACAAAGGATAGCCAGTCATGGGCCATTCTGAATTAAGTGATCATCCCCCTAAATAACATTGATTTCAGTTGCCATTCTCAATGAAAATAAGGGTTTTTTAAAATTTATGTCTGGAAATTCCTATCCAAAGAATATTCAGATTTTCTCATAGAAAAAGTTGTTTAGAAAGAGCATGTGCCTCAGACCTCAGGCCAGTATGTATCCTGCACCTCAAATGGTGATTTTTCTCCCTTTGTTTCATTTCCACTTTTGTTGAAATCATCCATACACTGTAATCTTTTTTTGAATATGGATTTCCAAAAGCCCTCACTCTATCTTGAATGAATGTTGCAATATAAATAGAGACTGTTGTAAAGTTTTTAGAGAGGAATGTTCTTATCAAGCCTTTAGGGCTAAGCTTGTCCTAAACCTGAAGTCCTCACTTTTTGCAACCTGGTCCCCTTTCAAATTGGGCATTTCTGCAAACTGGTTTGAATTTATATTAATTGATTCAGGAAGCTTCAGCTGATTCGAGCTTTGAGGAATTCCACAGTAAATCTACTGGGTCCTATCTATAGACACTTTGGGGACCTCTTGTTAAACAGTGAGGAAGTTCTAAATGGTTTCCGTGAAAAGGAAAACCTGTTAATAAAAAGGAGAGTGATACCATCTGAGGGTCTACTTAGAGTAGAGCAAGGAAAAGAGCAGGATCTGCAGTAAAATGAGGTCACAGCTGCCGAGGAATGGCCGTGGTGGCTTAGCTATTGTGGACTCTCAGCTCCTTGCAAGGATGACTCAGGCCAGGTACCTCGCTAGTTCCACAGAAGACTCTGAAAAGTTAACAGTCAGTTGACTTCTTATTCGCTAGACTCCCTCCTGCCCTTCCTCAACCCTTGACCATCACCAGGAAACATGCAAGTGAGGAGGACCTGGTGCCCTTTGTGTGTGTTTAGGGTGTCTTAAGGAGAAACACAATTAGAAATTTTATCTGAGAATAAAAGTTTCCTACATAGATCCTGGCTGTTTGAATTCAGGCACTCCCGGGCCCTCTGAATGTTTCCTTTCTCAGAGCCCTCAGCACAAATTCTTAACACTGGCTGAAGGTTGAATAGGATACTGAATATCTTTTCCATTTCACCAAGGAACTCCAAAGTCAAAAACGGGACTGTACCTGAAAGAGCATTGAAAAGAGAATCACATTGCTATGCAAACACAAGGAAGCGTTCGGCCAGAATCCCCTCGTTCTTTTCTACCAGCCAGGCAGAGCAGTCCAAGTTGAGATGTTCACTAGTGCCTCCTAACTCCTCTCCTTGGGCCCAAGCCCTCTGTTTCCAGGTAGTTCATCTTGCAGACTGTTAACACCAATCACCAGTTTGAGGCCACAAGTATTTACTGGTGCCTAATTGTATACCAGGCTCTGGGAATACGAAAGTGAGGAGGACACCTCTTGGATCAAAATATTCTTTTGCTTAAAAATTTTCATGGGTTGGGCCGGCCGAGTGGCTCAGTTGGTTAAGAGCTCGCTCAAGAGTTTGAACTCTGAGCAACAGTGGTTCGAGTTCCAGCCCGAGCTGAGCAGCCGCTGAGCTGCCAATAGGTAGCAGGATGGCTCAGCTAAAAAAAAAAAAAAAACTTTTTCATGGGTTTCCTTTTTTCTGCTTCATGTCCTGATACACCTTCCCATCCAAACATATCCCACCTCCCCTAAGGCTTTCAGTCTTGCCAGCCTCCAAAGCACCATGACCCAAGACCTGGAATACCCTCTTTTTCTCCCCTCTGAGTCAGTTCAAACCCAGTTCAAGCCTCCCATCCTGGGGTTGGGTGTCCCTCCAGAGTAAAAGTCAGGGGGAAATCCTCTCTTTTGGTTCTGATTCACTCCCAGTAAGGCAGCCCCACTTTTGGAAGAGGCTGACATGCCAAGTGATTTGCCCAGTCACCACCTGCCAGCAGTTGATGGAGCAGGGACTAGAAGCCACCCTCTAACCTCTCCTCTGAGGACAAAGCCCCTTGTCTTCTGCACTCTGCAGATGGCGCATTGGTCAATATTTACCTCCTGCTCCATCCACACAGCTTGGCCCTTCACTGAACCACCCCTGTGCCCTCCTCCTCCTGGGTACTAACTCAGGAAGGTGAGGTTTCATCTTTACCTTGCATCTTACCCTGTGACCGGGGCTGGTCTCACCTGAAGGAAAAAGAGGAGGCACGCAATAGAGCTTCAAAAATAATACTTTAGTTCTCCTAACACAAGAGAAAACAACAACCAACCAACCAACCAACCAACCAACCAACCAACCAAAAAACCTCACTGAAGCAACGTGGAAAGCAGGACCATCAAGTACCCCCAGCCCATTATCTCACCACTCAGAGATGACCACAGAGTCCTAGGGCGTGCAGGTTGGCTGCAGACCTGCCAAGGGTCCCGGCCATCTGTTTCAAGGGGCAGCTAAATGCAACTCATATACTGCCCCTCCCCCCCCCCGCCCCCCACATTGGGGGGTGGAGACTCGGGGGAAAGAAGAATGGAGAATCTGACACCACCAGAAAAACTTTGGGGGATCCAGGGCGGGAAGGGAGTGAGGAAAGAAGGGGGGTCCGGCAGGGGACCAAGCAGAGGGTGGGGCAGGGATAGGCGAGCGAGTCTCTGAGGAGTGGCCGTCCCTCCGCCTCCCCTCCCTCCACCTCCCCTCTGGTAGGCTCCCGGCCCTCCCCCTCCGCCCCCTTCTCCCCCGCCTCCTTCCCTCTTCCTCCCACCCCTCCTCCCGGTGTGGATGGCGGCGGCCAGAGTCGGAGCACCAGCGCCACTGCCCGTGAGTGACCAGCCCCAGGGGACAGACTTGGGAAGGCTTGGGGAGACCCCTCTCCAGGGTGGGGGAAAGTTTGCGGGCGGGGAGCGCGGGCGCCCTGGAACGTGGGCATCTCCCGTGCTGGCCCGGCGCGCTGTGCCGGGTCTCCCCCACACCGCCCTCGCTGCTCCAGAGCTGCCCAGGGCCCGAGGGGTGTCCCCGACGGGGCTTCCCCTGCGCATCTCAGCTCTGGTGCTATTGTGACCTGGGTCCTGGGTCCGGCTCTAAAGAGAAAGAAAACTCGAAGAGCAAAAAAAAAAAAAATAAGAATCTCGACTCGGTTCCGAGGGCGGGCGCGGGGGGCTCGTACAAACCCGGCCTTCCAGACCCGAGTCACCAGCCTGGGACCTTTATCCTCCCTGGGGCATCTGGACCATCCCACCTCCAGGACTCGCGCCTTCCTTGTTCCTGGATCGTGTTGTTCGTGCTGCTGCCACCCCCACCGCCCTTTCCGTGGGGAGCCCGTGTCCTCCAGGCTCTGGCTCCAGCTGGTGGCTCCAGCCTGGTGTTCTCTGCAGCCTTAGAAGGCGATAAGCCAGGCCAAGGGGCTACGGTCACAGCGGCCTCCACAGTTGCCCAAACATTTCTTTGCAGGATTGACGGTCACTGGGATTTGGTGTAGGGAACCTCGGACCCACAAACTGTACCTTTTGGGTCCAAGGGGAAGTTAAATATTCCTTCTTAGGATTTTACTGTTTGTGTTGGTTGGGCATCATTTAAAAAAAATCTCTCCAACTCTGCTTTCTTCCAGTAATAATGACACTTCATGTAATTAGCCTTTCTAATTTTGGAGGGGGGGGGGAAAGAACCCAGGAAAAAATAATAAAGAAAAAGAAGAAAGATAAAAAGAATACTTGCTAAAAATGCCGTGCAGAACCTGACCTTTGGAAAGTAAAGACTTCATTCCACTCATAACCTTTTCAGTGGGAGATGGGAGTTCAGTTAAACTTGTTCTCGGACTACCTCAAACAGATCATTATGGCCTCCCCCAGGCTAGAGGTTTGAATTTGCCTGACAGAAACCGCAGTGTTTGTTGGCATTCCTCAGCCTGGCACACTCCCTCTACATCTC